ACTGCCATTTTCCATTCAGGAGATGACCCCATTGTGCAATTCTCGACTCAGGATCCTGATCAAACATTCAATGTGCTGCCTTTGAATCCAGTGTTTGAACTTGTTTCACATCAGCTGCCTCCACACTGTGGGAGAGCTGCTCTCAAAATGAAATCCTGCTGAGAAACTTGTCAAGGGGAAAAGAGGAACCACGAGATAAAGGAGGGGAAAACARAGCTGGAACAATTCCCTTTTTTTGCTGTTACCCCCAGGTCTTGGTGATTTCTTCTGGGTGAGGTTTTGTCTTTGTGTTATGCTGGAGGAACGGTGGCTTTGGGAACGTGAGACACCAAATCCTTGTGGATACAAAATGAAAGAACTTCAGGCTTTGTTTCCAGCCAAAGAATCTCATCTCAACACCATTTAATTGCAGTTGTGGTGTCCTTTCGTTATCAGTTGATCAATAAGTCCATAATTAATGGATTTTTGACTGGCACCACCTTTGTCTTCCTCCTTCTGTCCCAAGGATTGCTCAGGATGAGCTGAGGAAAATGGATCATTWACTCCAAACTCGTGGATGGATCACACATAACTGGAAAGGTTCTGGGGAGCCAGAACCCTAAACTTTTAAAATAAACATTTTAGCACGTGATACCATTTAAGAAAAATGAAACAATTCTGAAGCCTTTTCTGGGATGCAGTGAGCGATGAATGATGACTGTTCTGGAAAATTCCTTGGAGAGGAAGCATTCCATGCCCAGGAGGATGAAATCCCAACCCCAGCGGGGATGTGGTGGTGTTTGGGATTTCAGGACCGCGGACAGCGGCGGGGCCGGACCCGCTCAGCACCGCGGACAGAGGCGGACCCGCTCAGCACCGCGGACAGAGGCGGCTGCAGCGCGGTTCTCCCGCTCCTCGGCCGGGAACGGGGGCTCGCTGCCCTCTGATGGGGATCTTTCCTTAACTCTATCGCTCCTGACCTTCTGTTCTGGCAAAACTCCTCTTTTTCTCTCCTGAAATCATTGGGATGCTCGCGAGAACGGCACAAATTGATCCCGTAAAATTCCTGGTTTTTTTTTGCTTGAGCCGAGTGCTCCGATAGGCAACTTTCCACCAAGAGCTGCTGGTTTTGGAGGTACAACCACACAAATCCTGCTTTTCCAAACGGGAATGGTTCTTTCCCAACCTTTTCTYCTTTGGTGCCACAGAAACATCCAAGGGGGGAAAGTGCCAGAGTTGAACTCCTCAGTCCCCAAACCCCAGGTTGTTTTTTTCTTGTTTGTTTTATGTCCTTCCTGCCCATGTGGTGCCATCAAAGCTGTGAATTTTCTTGTGATTTATTAAGGTTGGGGTCTAAAGCCAAACAAAATCCCTCCATGGCCTCTGTGCATTCAGGGATCTCCCTCCTGCAGGTGAATCCTGTGTTTCCATCACATCTTTGACATTCCTGGGAATGTTTTGCACATGAGAAACTCTGGGAAGTCGAGGGGAGGGGAATATCGATGTTTGAGGGGGCAGTGGAATGTTCACATGGGGAACATTCCCTCTTTCCTGCGAGCCTGGATTCCCAAACCCGCCAGCAGCACAGAGGGAGCTGTCTGATAAATATTTACAATAATACAATGTAAAAATGCAAATCCCRCTCTCGAGCAGAGCGGATGGAACCGTAATTAAAGATGAGGGAGACAAATGCAGYGTGGAGATGAAAAGGCTTTAATTAGAAATCAAATATTTGATGGTTTGGGGAGACACATTAATGCTGATGGGGCTGTCAGACAACACTTGGAATGAAGGGAACATGGAAACAAATGTTGTTTTCAATTCCTTCCATTGGCTTTGGATAATCTCAGCTCTGAATGTGAGCAGGGAATTCACAATGTTCGTGGCCTGACATGGAATTTATCTTATGAATGGTATTTTTATGGAGAAATAGTTGTTGAGTTTGTGTTTGTTTGTGTACATAATTATCTGGAATGATTACCCAAGTTTGACTCTCATTAATAATATCCCATGGGRTGGTAACTGCTGGGATCCACAAGGACCCTCTGGTGGGAGCAGAATGYCAATAATTCCTTCTTTTCTACATTTTGTGTACTGAAGGTTGAGTGTTGATGCGATTATCGGTGTCGATTTGAACCATTGTGCTTGAGCAGAGGCAAAATTGATCTGGAAAGGATCTTGGTTGATGATAAAACATTTCTGATAAAACATTTCTGATAAAACATTTCTGATGATGTTTCTGTGGGAATGTTCAGCTGCTGGAGACACCAGAGCTTGGTTTTGTTGAGTTCTGGGGTGGGTTTAGCTCTGTGAAGGTTCACAGTGGGATGACCTTGGTGGGTCTCAAAAATAGGTTTATTTATGTCCCCCTTCAGGAAATCTGGCTRAATATTSATAAATCCTTCCTAAGATAATTTMCCATTTTTCTGTTCTCATCCCATGCTTTTTTATCCAGTAAGATTTGATTTATCAGTACCAGGATTATCTCATACCCCAGCCATGTCTTTATTCCTCGGGCTCTGCCTTAAACTTTTCTTCATTGGTGACTTCAGAAATTTTGACCTTCTTTTGCCCTTCTTTGTGGGTATTTTATTCAATATTTCTCCTCCTGTTGGACAGGGCAGGAAAATGCAGGGAGCTGAGCAGTTCCCATCTGGAAACGCGGGAATATCCGAGGAGCCAGAGCTGAACTGTGGAATATTCCTGGCGTTTATCACATTTGACATTTCCCTGCTGTTCCAATAACGCATTCCCCACATCGCGTGCGTGCTCTGCTCACGCTCCTTCATTATTTGAAAAATTTGGGAGCT